GTGCCGACGGGCTCAGCTACGGCTGGCAGGAACAAGAGGTTCTGAGGTGCTGCTGGCGGTCACGATGGTGTACGGCACACTGTAGAAAGGGACGAGAAAGGGCACTGGAAGAAGTGATAGTGTTTCAGAAGACAGATAGGCTTGAGCGGATTTAAATGTTACAAAATATACACATGTATCAGAATGCCGCATTATCCCACTAATATGTACAGTTGATGTTTTTATGTATCAGTTAAATGTAAGGAAAAGTCTCAGTGGTGGCGTGCTTGGCTGGCATGTACAAGGCCCTGGGTTCAATTCCCAGCACCGCCAACAAAAACAGAGGTCTCCAAAGAGCCATGAGCCTAAGCTATGTCCAACAAAGCACCAATTTGGGTTTTCTTTAAAACAGCTTTAACTCATGGAAAAGCTTATTATTACTACTATTATTAATCACTTCCTGAACTCTATAGATCCAGTGCAGAACACAAATCCGGCTTCATTTCTTCTTTTTCTTCAGAATACATTTTAGGAAAGTAATTATTTATAAGTCGAAATAAATCAAATTCTAGGAAATTCTTCTGTGACATCTAGGACATTGTACTCTATCAGTCTGAAGAATGAAAGAAGTAGAATTAGTTGAACCATCAATCAAAAAGCTTTATGTCCTCTCAAAAAGGATTATTTGTTCAAAAAAAGTGAGCATTGAAAATGTGTTTCGAGGAAGTTGCTGTTGGACTAGCAAAGTATACATTTCATCCATTACTTGTCTTGTCAGCTACGTGACCTTCTTTTGTAATTGTGTGCCTAAGAGAGATCCAGAAATTGAGGATTGTCTTAACTGTCTTTTGTAGGTATGGTATCATGAGAAAAACACTTAAAGTGGGTTTTAGTCTCTACTTTACTCCCATCTCCCATTGTAATCTTAGGCAAGTCACTTAATTTTACAAATCTCAGGTTTTTAATATATAAAACAGGAGCAGTAGAACCCATCCTATCTGCAGTGCTCAGCATATGGAAGTCAGCATTATGCGCGTTAGCCAGAGATGAAAGACCTCAGGCGTACTACCGCAGAACAGGCAGGAGTCTTTGTGTCTAACCCTCTCAGACATGTCTGTTACCTGGGGTAAAATATGTGGTATACGGATGAGTTCCTTTATCGTTTTATGCATGTTACTTCTTAACATATTTTAAATGTATAAATATTCTTCAAAGAATGTAGGGGTATAAGAAAAAAACTATTTATTTGAAAGCTAAAATTATGTTGGTGGAAAACTTTGCTTTTCTATGCTTTGACGTTCATGTTTATTACAACTATAAAACACAGTGCACACTTGTTTCAGAAAATACATTTGTGACCTATTGCAAAGTCAAAGAGAATTCGTGGTCTGATTCCGTAGTTTTATGAGCTGCACTGCAGACATTTTCGGTACTTCCTTCCCGTCTTTCTCTCTGTGCACGACTGTCACCATGATGAAGTAGTGTCGTATGCCGCTCTCTCACAGCCACAGATTCTTCACGAAGTTTCTCTTGACAGCGTGGGCGTGTCGACTTACCTTCCCCTTATCTCTTCTGTGTGACATGGCAGCATTTCCAGACAGCGGGCTCACAATACCGAGGGCTGTTTTTCTTTTCATTCCCTCACAGAGCAGGCAGTGCGTGGGTCTGTTTGTGAGGAACTCGCACCCAGGGACGCAGCACGGCCTCGATTGTGCTGGCAGCCACTCTGCCTTTATTTCCCTCCTGTCCACGGCCCGCGACATAGTTACTCACGTTTGAAATAGCTTTGGAGTAGCATGCGCCTACAGACGTCAGGCACCCGCACCCTCTAAGAATGATGTGCTGCAGACTGGCTTATGAAATCTGTCTTATACCCGAGGTCATCCGCCTGAACTGTGCCGCAAAGGAGCGTATAGTTTGGCCATCTCTCTTTAAACAGGCTTTAACCCTCCAAGAACACAAGCGAAAACAGCTCATTCCTGTCCTTGGGACATATTGCTCACTTGCCCCGGCCGTTATGAGTTAATGAGTGTTCAGACTCTGAGGACCAAGGTCCTCAAGTCCAAAGCTGTGCGTCCAGGGCTATGGTTTCTCTCCAGCAGAACAACGGCAGATGTGGATGTTAGATTTTTTGAGGCCCGTCACGGTTTATGGCGAGGCTCTGATGAGAGGCAGAGGACTGATCAGCCCTGCGTGAAAGCGCGTGGTAACGGCCCTTTCTTCGATTTTAACAGTGGAACCGGTATCAAGTACACAGACAGAGTTAAGAGCGGGGTCACCGGGGAGCAGATCTGGCTGCAGATCAGTGAGCCCACTCCCAATGACAAAGGGAAGTACATCATGGAGCTCTCTGACGGGAAGACGGGGCACCAGAAGATGGTGGACCTTTCTGGACAAGGTAACCGCGTCTCCTGCTGACTCACACTTGCCATGCAAAAGTGGATCTCTTTATTTTTTTCTTCTTTTTTTAAGAGGCATAAGGGGGTTTATGAGGTAGGAACTTAAAAGTACACATCCAAAGAAATAGAGTGCGGGTCCCTGAGAAAAGTGCGCTGCGTTTGGAGCTGGGCATGCGTATGTGGTTTTGGTGGTGGAAAATCTGGGATCTGTGAGTCCATAGAAAGTTTCACCTTGGCCTTGGCGTACAGGAGATAGGATGGCTCCCTGACAGAAAGATAATGGCCTTTTACAGGTGAAAGGCATGAGGGCCACCATTCTGCGGGGAGGAGATGTGTGGTCTAATGTGTTTTGCCTAAAAATATTTTTGAAGTCCCTCAGTGTATTCCTTTAGCAGAAGGCCAGGTTCCTGATCTTTAACAACTACATTAATTTATGGACTTAAAAGGTTTTGGATGTGATGGGTCCAGAGGAAAGGTGTAAACAAACCTAGGGAACAGCGGCGCGACCAGTCTCAGGTACCTTTGGCGGTGTCCGCGTGTGGCAGTCCTCTTAAAGTATGATTTTTAGCTATGACTTGCTTTTTTGTTTTGCTTTGTGTTTTGGTTTTTTGAGACAGGGTCTCGCTATGTAGTTGAGGCTGACCTGAAACTCACTATGTAGCCCATGCTGGTCTCGAACTCACAGTGATCCCCCTGCCTCAGCCTCCTGAGTGCTGGGATTACCGGCGTGCACCACCACACCCGACTCCTTTTCTCCTTTATACCCATCTTTATTGTTTTCTATCTTACCTCACCCCCCCATACCCCTATTCTTGAGGGATGCAGAAGGCTGAGGAGCCGGCTTCTTTTAACTGCTTCAGGCTGAGGTGGGGTTTGGACGCTGCTCCATCAACAAGAGTCTCAGCTTCTCTGATCCAAAGGAGGCAAAGGAAAAGGGACTTCGTCCTGTGGTCCAGGGCACCATCAACTCTCGATGGTCTGGAGGAGAGGACAAGAATGTTAGCAAGCCAGCTACACTCGTCTTCATTTTATAACCATGTTAAGCCAGCAAGGGCTCAAAATTAAAAGTAGAATATTGATGAATGATAGCTCAAAAAATTGTAGGAGTCAGACAAAATCAGGCAGCATTTTGGGTAAGCCTTTGACCTTGCATAGTAACCTGTATTTGTCCAGCAGCATTAACCCAAGTCTTGTTAAAGAAATCTAACGTTCTCTTAATTATAACAATGGCAAAGATGGACAGTAAATAAAGATTTCTATGTTTTTGTGGCCATTGGGCCATTAAATTTGTTACTCTAGGGCTCAGAACTTGGATCTGACCCGTTTTAGAGACCTGAAGACATATTGTAGTGACAGTAAAGTAAACATACAAGTAGATAACAGAAAGTTCGCTTATACCACCAAGGCAACAACACTTAGTGGCTAGAATATCCGTACTGCCACCCTTATTCGATAGGCTCACCTGCACAGGAGGCCACAGCTTTACGTGAGGGGTGCTTGAAAGTACCGTAAAGTAACATGGCAGCAACATGCAGTACTGAGACAGGCGGCAGGACCCGTTCCTGAAGAGTCAGGGGACTGAGCATCACCGCCTGTGACGGCTGTGTCTCAGGAGACTTCCAGCCGCGGTGATGTCAGGCTGCAGCCCCTTTGTGTAGCTCACCTAGCTTTTGTCGTGCGTGACCATCACTTGGCTGTTTTTTTGGTTGTACTTTCCTGCTGGGTGTTTAAGGCCAAGTCAAAGCAGGTCCTGTGTTCCTCTGAATGTATACGTATGGACGTGCACGTGCGCGCAAGATCAGTGAAGGCTCTTCAGGGGTTACTTTTAGGGCCATGTGAGGAGCCTCTTAACTCCTCTAGTTTTTCCTAGAGAAATGGGTCTTTTACAATGAACAGGAAGTGAAAAGAGGCCGTCGTGTTGGTGACGTCACAGAACAAATCGCCAGCCCGTTAAGCTCGAGAGCCCCCCTTGGCTTCCTCAGTGATTCGTGGGTGGGGCAGCATCCGGGTACTGACCAGGAAAACGGGGTGGCACAGGCCTTGCCGGCGTGAGCAGGACCAAGGAAGCAACACGGCGCAGGCGCAGACATGCTCGCCAGATCCCCTCGGCCCCTCTCCTCACAGGGCACAGCAGAGGGACTCCTGGACACCGTGGCCCGGGCCGGCTGGCCCCGCAGGCTGGCTGCTGGAGTCCCACTTCCTGGGGACCGGGCCTGTTTTTATGTTCGGGTTGATGACATGGCACCTAGCAGAGCGAATCCATCCTGCTTTGATCTGGTCGTGTGGGCCTGGGTGGGAGCTCAGGCTAAAACCGTGGCGCCTGTGAATTTTACTAAGTCGTTTTGGAAAAGCAGTCTTCGTGTGCTGCAGTGGCAGAAGCAAGAACCCATGGGGTGAACAGGCGGTAAGAAGCAAGGTGGAGAAGTTGCGGTGGACGGAGAGCCCCACACAGGAAGACACTTACGGAGAAGGGCAGGCTGGGCACGGCCACTCCGTAAGGCCGAGCAGTGAGAAGCCGGTGCTAGGGTCCCCGAAGCCTGAGCTCGTTCATGGCGCCCGAGAAGCAGAGAGGTGGGAATGGAGGAGAATCGCTGAGCACTGAGGTCCCAAAGAATGAGGGCTGTGGGACCTGGGGCAGAGGGAGAGGAGTGAGGAGGCCCAGGGGAGAGAACGGGGAAGCAAAGACCGGCGTGAAAGAACAGAAGGAAGTGAGAGTCCGGGTCCTCGTGGTTCCAGATGTCTTCGTCGTCTGCTGAGAGATGAGGGGCCCTGAAGACAATCGGAAGAGGAAGTAATAAGGAGAGATGCACGCGAAGATGTCCAGACAGCAAGGCCCAACGGCAGGGCACTGCTACTGAAACTGTCAAAGTTAAAAGATGCCCAGTTATAGCTTAAAAAGCTGAAAAACACTGCACCATCTCTCCCCTTTCTTCTACTCTTTCCTAAAGAAATAAAATTGTCCAAGCACCGGGCGTGGTGGCGCACGCCTGTAATCCCAGCACTCGGGAGGCTGAGGCAGGAGGATCGCTGTGAGTTCGAGACCAGCCTGGGCTACATAGTGAGTTCCAGGTCAGTCTCAACTGCACAGTGAGACCTTGTCTCAAAAAACCAAAACAAACAAACAAACAAACAAAAAGAAATACGCTAGTCGCTGGCTTTTTCCTCCATTTCTTCATTCAGTGAAACCCAACATGAAGGTGCGCTACCCTTAGTAAGGAAGCTCACCATTCTGGGCAGCGTCTGGCCGGCAAGGACCAGGCCAAGCCTGGCACCCTCTGCCCGGTGCAGCCCGTTTGTCTCCAGCTGTCTCGGGAGCGCCCGGGCCACGTGACGGCTGGAGCCCACGGTGCCCCATTGGCCGGGGAGACCTCAGACATGACACAGGCTCTCGGCTGTCCAGCTGGGGTCCGGTGATATCCGGCACGGGTCACAAAAGGAAGCCTTTCTGGCGCTCAGGATGTTCAACAGACAGCAAACGTTTCTCTGAAACAGATTCGTTCACATTTTCCTTGGGTGCGCCCATCCCTGCCTTTGTATTAAAAGGGCTGAGCCGAAAACTTCCCGAAACGCCTCGGTCACGTTTTCTGCCTGGAAGGCAGTGTGTGTTAGGGCGAGCGGCGGCTGGGCCCAGACCCTGCACAGCTTCCTTGTGTGGGAGATTTTTTTTCTTTTTCTCGGGATTCCTGAAACGCCTCGGTCAGGTTTTCTGCCTGGAAGGCAGTGTGTGTTAGGGCGAGCAGCGGCTGGGCCCAGACCCTGCACAGCTTCCTTGTGTGGGAGATTTTTTTTCTTTTTCTCGGGACAGTAGACTCTTTATTCCCTGTCAAGAGTTGTCACCATATAGACACGGGCGCAAGAACTGAAACAGGATTTGAACACATCACACTCGTACATTCTTTAACACCTTACCAACAGAAAAGCAAGACCCACCACCTCCTGTGACTATTTTATTTAACTCACAATATGTCTGTGCTGAGTCTTTAGTCCTTGGGACATAAGAGGGAAAAAATCCAAAACACAAACAAGTAAGATCAAAGAATGTGGATGGAGAAAAGCAACAGATTTTATGGAACACATTAGATTCTGAAAAAAATAGGCATTTTTTACTTCTGCTTTCTTCATGTAAAAAACACACCCACCGCAGCCACCTGTTTGGGTGAAGCGAGTGCCTGGTGGAAAGAACACGGCCCAGGGGACCAGACACAGCCCCCAGAGCACGTCCACCCCTCACTGAAAAGGGTCACGGGGTTTGCGGAGGTGCCCTGCACAGGACAGGTGCAAAGGAAGCCACAAAAATGGCGTGGGAGTTTCACTGAGAGCCTTGCGTGGAGGTCACAGTCACGCCTGGGATTGGGGTGAGCAGATCCTAACTTAGCTTTTTTCTCTTAAAGCGTACGAGGAGGCCTATGCTGAATTCCAGAGGTTAAAGTAAGTCCCTCACCCCACCCGCGACCCTGGGAAACGCTGGCGGTGTGCAGTGATCCATCTCCCTGGGGGCCGGGCCGGTGCAGAAAGAGCCCCCTGTCCAGCGAGGGCGCTGCCCTGGGGCAGCCAGAGGTCCCCACAGCAGTGAGACCCAGTCGGGGTCAGTGCTTCCAAGTAGCACTCAACACAGTCTTCTTTGTTTCTGTGTTTGTTCGTCTCTCTCAACCACAGACAAGCTGCCATCGCCGAGAAAAGTAAGTAGGCCGCTTCCCGGACGGAGAGGCCTCCAGCGCGCAGTCACAACTGCCAGCCGGAGGCTTCCCCTTCCTTTCTGTGTTGGACCCCAGGGGTCCCACACGTTTTCATTTTAGTCTCACCGGTAAGAAAGGAGTCTCGGGTTTCACTGTGACAGTGTCACCCAGCTCCAGGACACCCTGAGAAACCTCCTGATTGCAAGTCACTAGCTAGGCACAGTGTAGAGGGGAAAATCCTAGCGTTAAAAATAGAAACATTGTAAGTTTGACATGGGGCAGCTCCATTTCCCGTCCCCTTAGCGCCCTGTGTGACACTGGCCTCTGAATGAACCCTTGATGCTCCACGCGGTCACGGTTTGCTTCCCTCCAAATCTTCAGAGGGCCAGCAGCATCTCAGGAACCTCGGCTAAGCCCGAGCCTCAGTGTGGTTTCCTTGTTAAGTGCGGGGTGGACTGTAACGCGGCCGCATTTTCGTGGGTGCCCAGCTTGAAAGGACTCGGAGGCACGGAGCAGAGCGGGTCGGGGAGGACCTGGGACGCGCTGAGAGGCCCCACCCGCAGCAGGGCCCTGTCTCTCCCGATGGGAGCCTGGTCCTCCGGGTCGTGCACCCTGCAGCTGGGAGGGGCTGGGTCCTCTGGCTGTGACTTTCCCATCTACCTATGCCGTGGGAGACTCACCCAGACCTGTGCCCTCCGCACCGCCCAGGGGAACCCACAGAAGCGGTGCTATAGCTCTGCAAACTCCAAGTCCAGATCCATGCAAACCTCCCCCTCCTCTACAGCCAGGGGCCTGGGGCGCCCAGCAAGGCGACAGCCCAAGATCACATGGTAGGTCACGTGGGGAGCCGGTGGTAGAATGGCATCGGCAGGAGAAAGGAACCTGGTGTCACCCCAAGCCTCCACCTGACTCCGCAGAGCAGGCAGTTGTACAAATGAGGACCGAGAGTCACAGCTGAGAGGCTGGCAGCCGCTGTGTCCGTGCCAGCGGGGAGGCCTTAGCATTTGTGACACAGAGGTGCATTCCCCAAGGGCTCGGGCACATGAACTGGCCAAGGGTGCCATCCTGGGCCTCACACCCATCCTGACCCTGGTCCCCTCGTCGGTGGCCTTGATGCTCAGCTGTGAACAGTGGGCTGTCAGAGCTGCGTGAACCCCGGGAATAGAACAGGACAGTCTTGGGGAGGCCTTGAAGGAAGCCGTGTTTGACAGGCCCCTCGCTCGCTCCCAGGGAGAGCCACACGGGTGCCAAGGTTGGTATTCTGTCCGTTCCCAGCTCCACCCCACGCAGCTGCAGCAGTTGCAGGGCAGCTCCCCTGGGACAGTGCCCTGCCGGCCTGGTCTCCTGGGGGCAGCTGGCAGCTCCTGCTCACGTGCCGCATGCAGATGAAGACGGGGAAAGCCCAAAACTGCTGGCTCATTTTCTTATTTTGCACATTTAAAAAATTTGCCCTTGTCATTTACAAAAGCTCTATTTCCACTTCTTTCTTCCGTTCTCTCGCTTTTTAAAAAATTCTTTTTCAGCTGGGTGTGGTGGCACACGCCTGTAATCCCAGCACTTGGGAGGCTGAGGCAGGAGGATCTCTGTGAGTTCGAGACCAGCCTGGGCTACATAGTGAGTTCCAGGTCAGTCTCAACTACACAGTGAGACCCTGTCTCAAAAAACAAACAAAGAATTCTTTTTCCCTTCCTTCCCACCTCCCTCTGCCCATGCCTTGCTATATTCCCATGGGAAGAGGTTTTCCTACTTCCTGTTACTGCCGTTCATGTTGCCCCGCAGTTACACCTGGAGTGCCGCGCACAGTATGAAATCCCTGTCAGGAGGGTGAGAGCTAAATCGGGAGTTTGTGGCCCCGGATCAGAGGAGGGGTTGAGGGCCACCGTCGCGCAGTGACTAACCGGAAGTGCCTTGCTTACAGATCGTGCCCGGGTGCTGGGCGGGCTCCCTGACGTGGTCACCATCCAGGAGGGCAAGGTGAGTGTGAGGAAAGGGCCCACCCTCAGCTGTGTCCCTTTCTTAATGCGACGCACGCCACCGTCTGCCCTACTCCCGGCTGCCTCCTTCCACTTGACCAGAATGCCCATGCACGGGGTTTCAAACACAGCCCACTTTCCGACCCTCTCCGTGCCCTGTAGGCCAAACATCAGGATCAGGTTTCTCTCCTGGCGTCAGGTATGGGCCACTTGGCGTCTTCCCACAGTCACCCTCCGAAAGGTTGTGAGAAACTGAAAATGCCCCGTCATAGCTCCGGGAAAACAGAGGAAACAGCCTCTCCGGCCTGTGGGGCAGGGTGTGGACGGACCGTGCCCTTTGTGTTGCCTTCCCTAAGCCCCATGGATTCCTGCTCTGCTTGTGTCAGAATCTCATCTCTCTCCGTTTGCTTTCTAAACTGGCATTGCCTGGCTCCCTATGGCGTCTTCACAGTCACCCTCCGAAAGGTTGTGAGAAACTGAAAATGCCCCGTCATAGCTCCAGGAAAACAGAGGAAACAGCCTCTCCGGCCTGTGGGGCAGGGTGTGGACGGACCATGCCCTTTGTGTTGCCTTCCCTAAGCTCCATGGATTCCTGCGGGCTCTGCTTGTGTCAGAATCTCATCTCTCTCCGTTTGCTTTCTAAACTGGCATTGCCTGGCTCCCTAACAATCTCTCTGACAGCCAGGGGCACAGTTTTGAAACCGTATTCACTTTCTCCGTTCTTTTTGGTTTTTGTTGTTATTGTTGTTGTTTTGGTTATTTGAGACGGCCTCACTATGTAGTTGAGACTGACCTGGAATTCACTATGTAGCCCAGGCTGGTCTCGAATTCACAGCAATCCTCCTGCCTCAGCCTCCCCAGTGCTGGGATTACAGGTGTGCACCACCACACCTGGCTCACTTTCTCCAGTCTTAAATATCGGTAGGACAAGTTTAGCACAGCAGTCCTGGGGCAGAGAGAGCTAAGAGGGAGCAAAAGCTTTTTCCCTCCAGCAGCAGGAGCCGGGCCAGGCTGGGACACTTGCCCCGGGGTGGGGGTGGGGTGCAGCTCTCACAGAGCTGTTCTCCGGGTAGGCTCCTTCCATTTTCCTGGCCTGACTCTGGGTCATAGCAAGGATGAGGAGAGAAGTTTTAACCCCCACGTAATCAAAATCCCCCAAATGGTCATGATGAATGGTCATGATTTCCCTCATGGTTTTCTTTCTGAAATGGATTCATAAAATAATTCAGTAAGAAATGCTAATTGATGGTTGGGTGAAAATAGAGTTTTTCTTTTCTTTTCTTTTCTTTTGGTATTGGACCTTGCACTTGGGAGGCAATGAAAACAGAGTTCTTAACCCACCCAATGTTGCCAGGGATTTAGGTCCAGAGTGCCATGCCTGCTACACCAGTGCAGGAGGGTCCTGAGGTCCTGAGTTCGATCCCTGGTACAGCAAAAAAAAAAAAATCCACCCAATGTCAGGCCTGCAGGTAATGTACACAGGGACCCTGAAGACCCGGAGAAATATACTTAGATGGATGCCCCTTTCTTTGTCTGTTGTAAGCCCTAGCTCTTTCCTCATTATTTCTGGGGTTAGAAACCAATTCAAGAATAGAACTTAACATGTGAAGTGAGCTCGCCGTGATTTCTGGCCGGGGAAGGAAAGGACCGCGGTGAGATGTGGTGACAGCTGTCAGAAATGCTGGAACACCTGGGGACGGAGCTCAGCGGTGCCGCTGCCTGCCTCACGAGTGCAGGGTCTGGAGTTCGATTCCACACACACACACAAACTAATAAAAAAAAGGCTTTTTTTTTTTTAAATGCTGAAACAGAAAATGGTACACAGCACAAAAGTCATAAGGACAGATGTTGGCCAAGATGTGGGGAAACCGAATCACTTTACATTGTCGGTGGAAATGTAAACCACAATTATACCACCCCCTCAGGAAAGCAGTTTGGCAGTTTCTGGGGAAAAAAAATGAATCATGCGTTTACCTTATAACCCAGCACTTGCACCTTGGGCAGGTTTCCCAGAGAGGTTAAAACTCGGGGTCATGTAAAAACCTGTACACAAACCTTCATACAGCTGTATTCACAGCAGCCTCAGGCTGGAAACCACACACACAACCCTGAGGGCCATGGGTGGACCCTGGCACCCGCCTCAGCAGTAAAAAACGAGTGAGCTGTCACCACCGCAGTGAGCCGGGTGAACCTGCAGGGCCTTATGCCGAGTGAAAAGCCCATCCCCAGAGTTCAAATGCTGTAGAGTTCATTTATATAATGTTTTCGATCAGAGACCCCAGCCTTGAGCTCCGATCTCCTGCCGAGGGGCTACATCGAAAGGCAAAAGTCCAGAGAAAGACACAGAAATAAGACTTAAACAGAAAGCAAGGATCTGGGATCATCTGAGCTGGTCTGGCAGCAAAGACACCAGGTGCCCAAGACCTCCAGGATCTATTGACTACAAGCGTGGGAAGAAGTAGGGCAGAGTGTCCGGGAGACATCTGGAGATAGCAGTTATCACCGTCAGGGCTTGTAAAAGGGGGACGAAGGGAGGCCAGGCTGAGTCGTGATTACCCGTGACCCTGCGGTCCCTCACCCCCGCGGCCGGTGACTGACCTGCCCCCTTTCCCACACGCGTGTCCCGCAGGCCCTCAGCCTCACCTGCTCCGTGTGGGGCGACCCGGGGCCCGAGGTCTCCTGGCTGAAGAACGAGCGGCTGCTGGCCTCCGACGACCACTGCAGCCTGCGCTTCGAGGCGGGGAGG